GTTTTTTTTTTTTTTTTTTTTTTTTTTTTTTTTGTACACTGGTTCATAGATCGGCACTTGACTTTGAACCTGGCACCAAAAGGCACAATATCTGATACCCTGTACAAGAGCTATTAGAGATGCTGCCGTGTGGATGGGCACAACCGAGCCAATCCCACTCGGGAATGGAAGGCTTGGACGGGGAGGGAGGGGAAGGCAGAGCAAGAGATGGAGAAAAACACAAGCCCACACTTCTAGCTGGGATGGGGACGAAAGTGGGCACGAGGTCTTGTTTTTCAAACCTCCAATTACCAGGAAGCAATTTCAACACTTCCTCCGTTTTCCAAAGCAGCATATTCAAAATGCCAGCAAAAGAACTCCCAACTATCTGCAAAACCCAGAGGGGACAAAGCTCACTGACATCCCTTATTGCTGAGAGTCTAAGATTCAGGGTGCCCTGTTCCCCTTGCAAAAGGGAAAATATTCTGATTTATGATCATCACAGCACATCACACTTTTAAAAAATGCTAAAGCGTGTGAGCAGGGGAATGTTTGACACCGTTTTATTTATATTCAACTTCAGTGGAAGATTAGAACCCTTTTCAAGTGCCATTTCATCGCAAGAGTTCTAGTCAGTGCGCCTATAGACACACACACAGATTCTATGCTTTGCTTTTCATTTTGTCGGTTAGTTGGTTTTGAAAGTGCAGCAATAGACCAATACCGCATTGCAGTCAATCAAATAAAAGAGAACAGAAGGCCAAGCAGTTTCGAAATGGTTATATTATCAGATTGTTTGAACATTAAATTTATCCTCATTTGCAATCCAAAATAGTTACCTGAAGTTGGCTGTTTTGTGTGTGTCTATTTACTTTTATTGTATATTTGTTTTCTAAACTCTTTGGCACAATTTTTGGGGGGCATTCAGACTGCCACGATACAAGTCAGGAGAGAGCTTTGCTTTTGTCCTGCCAATTTTGACCATGTAAAATTTGGTGTGGGCTGTGGCTTCTTTGTCTTTGACGTCTGCATTTTTGTTTTTCTATATCCTCTAACTCCACAGAGTTCTTTCTCCCCCCTCCCCCTTCTACATTCACAGTTGAACCAGATCATCATCAGGAAAGGCGCCTGTGGGAGACAGGGTAGGAGCTGACTGTGCATCAGTGTTTTCCCTAGGATAACTAGAAAAGAAAAAAAAGAAAAAGAAAAAAAAAAAAAGAAAAACCAAACCTAGAGAGCGTCTTTCCTTTTTTTTTTTTTTTTTTTTTTAAAAACACCTCTTGTGCTGCATCAGTAGACAGAACTTCGGTTAGTTTATGAAATGCAACATCTATGAAATGCAACATCTAACCCTTGTTTTCTGGGAAAAAGAAACTGCAATGACTTGAAGTTGAGAATGTGGATACCGCCGCACTCACGCACACTCATTCTCCGACCTAAAGCCCCGCCCTCCTCCTCCCGCCAGCCAGGCAGACGGTACCACGTGGCAGAGGAACAGCGAACAGCGAAGCGGGCTTGGGCCCAGGACCGTCTTTCTCTTTCTCCGCAGCAGCGCAGTACTACAGGCCGAGGCCGCCTTTTATGACACAGCGCCACAGCTGAGCCCAGTCCCTTCTCTTCTCCCAAACCAGCCCTGCACTCGGCACCGGCCAAGAGACAGGAAAGCTAGTCCTAGCCTCCACTGGGAAGACAGCTTCCACAGCCAGCAAATCCATCACTCCGCTCCTCTCCTCCAGACGGCTGGCGTCGGGGGTTTCCTAGAAGTCAGTGCTTACTTAGCTCACTAACAGCGCTGCTTGCTGGTGGCTGCGGCGGCGGCTGCTGCGGCAGGATTCTCAATATGGTGTTTTCAAGCCTCACTCACGCATCCTCTCACTCCCAAACACTCAGCATCCGTGCACACTCCTCACTTCCGGGTTTTTCAAAAGATTGGAGATTTCCAGTGGGGGTCTCAGGTTATCGTCCCAATGGTAACAGATCTGGAAACAGACAGGAACAAGACGTTAATTCTGAGAGCAGATTCCCACAGAGTTCCAACACCCAAATGCTGCAAAACGAAGCGTCCCCAGACAACGCGATCAGACAACCGTTCTTCCTGGGGGCCACCTGTCTGCCCTCACTGGCACCTACACTGGAAGTTAGGGAAGAAAATAAAACTCAAACAGCCAGCTCGAAGGTGACCTTTACAGCATGGTAGTAACAGAGGAGTTGGAGATGGGGGAACTCTTGTTCCAGAGCAGGGATTAGACGCCCGTGACGGGTCCTTCCGCAGCTCTGCAGTAAAGAGACAAGGCCAGGAGAGGTGGCGCATGCCTGGAAACCCTGCACTTGGGAGGCTGAGGCGAGAAGGCCACAAGTTTGAGGCCAACACAGGAGACTTAGCAAGAACCTGTCTCAAATAAAAATGTAACAGAGCTGGGATACAGCTCAGTGTGAAGGCCCCGGGTTCAACCTCTAGCACACGTGCACACACGAAGAGAAGAGAGTACGGCTGAGGGCGTAGCTCAGGAGTAGAGCACTTGACCGGCAAGTGCACAGTCCTGAGTTCACCTCTGCACTCTCCCTGCCAGAGGGCACAAGGAAGCGGGAGTACAAGGAGGGTCACAGGAAGATGCCTTTGCCAATGGTCTTACTGGAGCCCGGAACATTTTGGAATTCAGCCTTGGCCTTCAAAGTTCTGTTCTCCATCATCAAATATCTGGCTAAGAAAAGACTGAGGCTGCCCGACTTCCACTAGTACAAAGGGCTGACTGAGAATCACCTACGCGGGAGAGAGCGCGAACAAAATGCACCAAGGCAGCCCTCTCCGAGGGGCCTACGGAACCACTCTCTGCCTCAGACAGCTGGAGAGGGTGGCGGGGACGGGAGCTTACCAAGCTTGGTTCTTCAGTTTCCTCAGTTCTTTAGTTGCCCATGTCGCAAGGGTTTTTGCTTTGTTCGTCTTCGATCTCCGTCCTTCAGTTAACAGTTCATGAATCATCGGCCGAGCTTCTACTAATTTCAGTACATCCTTCCCGAATGCTGTACATAAGTCCCTGTGCAAACCGACACACAAGGGCATGAGCGCCTGGCCCACCGCGACAGGCACCCGAGTGGCGTGGAGCTGGCTGCAGGCTTCCCAGCACCCCCACTTTCTAGCCCGGGAAAGCTCTTGCAGGTACATGAGCTGTCACGTGGGCAGGGTGACTCGCCCCAAGGTTAACTACTAATTCACACTGAAATTCAGAATGGCCGAAGACCAGCGTCTAAAAATGCCTCAGCAATGCTCGGAGGACACGAAACAGATGCGATTTGTTGGCCAACACCAGCATTTCGCAGGGAGAAGTGACTGCTCCGGAGGCTTTGGGAGGAATCAGCCGTCATTCATGAGGGCCCAAACCTGACTGTGGGCTGCAGAAGGCCACCTCCTGTGGGCCAGGAAGGCAGCGCAGCGGCACAGTACTTGCCTGGCACCTGTAAGGCCCTCCTGAACTACTCCCATGAACAAAATAAAACCACACCGCAGAGGGGGCTGGGGCCTGACGTCCACACTGCTCTCCCAGCGCCCGGAAGCGGGTTCCGCTCACCCTATCAGGCCAGCAGCACAGGCCACGACTCCATCTGTGTGATCCTCGTCTCCAGCAATGTGGTCGATGAAAGACAGAATAAACTCTACTCTCGGCTGCACCAGCATCACATCCGCTGGGGGACAAAGACAAGGGCAGTGGGCGCTAAGTGAGGTGGCCCTGTGCCGGCTGCTCCGCGCTCACATAGTTCCCACTCATGGACCCCAGCTACTCTTCCTCAGGGCAGGGCGTCACTCTGCAGGCCCAGAAGAAGCCAAAATTCCTCTTCTCTACGCAGACAGTGCACCCTCGATCCTCGGGAGGTTCAGCACAAATATCTCCCCACCAGGAACAGCAGCACGCGGGGCGGGGTCGCTCAACAACTGCTGCTCTTGGTCGGTACAGAAGCAATCAGCACTTCGGCACTTTTCGCTGAACACCCTTGCTGGACCTTGTTTCTCGTACTGCTCCCGAAACTCAAGATAAGCGGGGCGTGGTCACGCACCCCCCCTGTGATCCCAGCACTCAGGAGGCCGAGGCAGGGGACCACTGCAGTTCGAGGCCAGCCCGGGCTGCACACTGGATGCCACACTGACTTGGACTAACAGGGACACCTTGTCTCAAGAAAGGAAGGAACGAGAGACAGCCAGGTGTAGCGGCGCAAGCCTACGCAATTCTGACAGAGGCTGAGGCAAGGAGGGCAAGGCAAAGAAAGGGAGAGAAGAAACACGACCACCTACATCTGCACACGCTACTCACTCCCCTCCTTTGAGTAGCAGATGCCAGTTCCCTAGTGACAACGGCAGGTAAGACACCGCATGTGGCCAAGTGCACAATGGCCAGGGGCTAGGGCAGCGGGCTGTATACTAACGGTGCACGTTCTCCTGGTCGCCCTTCAATCCCTGGACGATGCCGGTGTAGGCTTCCAAGCAGCCCTCTCTGAGCTCATTGAGATAATCCACCATGTCATAGTCTGACTGGAAGAGACGACACAGCAAAGCTCCGTCAGGCCACTCACCTGCAGGGCGTCGTCTGCCCCAAGTCGCCCTTCTCCAGTGACAGCTGGACCTCATGGGCAGCGCGACACCAGGCTTACCTTGTCCACCTGAGCTTGGGAGGCCTGCTGCAGAGTATTCAATACAACCTCTAGGTACTTTTTAAACTCTCCTCCAATCGCAAGGGCAATGTCACCAAACACCGAGAGAATCTGCGGCTTCACAGACCTGTGGACATTCTCATTCTGGCAAGAATAGAAACACCGAATTAATAAACGCCAAAATACATCTGGTCCCAAGATTCTAGAAACTTTGGACACAAAAATCAATGGCTGTTGTTGGATAGTAAGATGAAATATCTTTTCCTTTATATTTTGTTTTTTTTCCTCCCAAGTAGAACACAAATTCCTTTCAGCGACATCGCAAACTTTAGAATAACCTGTGAAAAGAAACAATTCTCTTCTTTGTAAGTAAGGCCGTAGCCAACATTCTAGGAGTTGCACTCGCGGCTCCCCGTGACGGACTGGAGCCCCTCGGAAGCCTGGCTCCCCAGTGCGTGTGACACTCACCCCCAAGTTCTCCAGCAGCAACTGCATCACCTCGTCACAGAAGGGCAAGATGTTGGACTGCAGGGCCCGGCACAGGTCTCCCACCAAGCCCACTGCTGCCAGGCAAACCTGCGAGGAACCAAGAAGTTACCTCCAGACAGAGAAGGCTGCCACAGGGTTAGGTGTGGCTTTTACATGACCTGCCCCACAGCTGTGATCAGTTCATTTAACAACTGAAAGGGCAGGAAGGGAAGGAGGACCACTGGAAACGTCACTTTGGTAGCAGTGTTTATTCGCCGGGGATGGCGGGGCAGAGCGGGGGTTTAAAGAGGGCTCTGCTCTCAAGGGGTGCAGACGGCAGGGCTCTGGAGCTGCCCTTGCAGTCGCCCGGGGTCCTTGTCTCTGGGGGAGTCCACACCCTGCACTGCAGACTCCTGGTTCAGATATGGCAACAACACACAGCGCCAAGGTACAAATACGGAGTCCACCAGAACCTGACTGTGCTAAGGTGACCGTGAGTTAGAGACGAGAAATACAACGCGGTGATAACCAAATGGGTTACTGGAAAAGAGCATATCCCACCTGGTACTCAGCATAGTTTTTCAATCCGATGCCCAGGAAGGGTTTAAAGGCATCCATATACTTAAGGAATTCGCCACCCAACACTGTAATGAAACAAACTATTAGCTAATGACGACAGCAGAGGACGTCAGAGATGAGCACGGTAACCAGCCCAGACCTCCTCAAGTGTGTTCGCTCCAGGCAGGATGGGTGGACAGGACCCGACCGCTGTCTCCGCCATCAAGATGAAGGCGGGTCTCGAAGCAGCAGGGTTTATAACTGCTGGCCTGATTCCTATGCCCAGGCGGTACCACCCCTCCACAGGATGGAATGTAATTTTGGCTGAAACAAAGTAGCATGGCCCTAACGAACTCCAAGTTAATTCTGAACTGAGCCTAGGACACTGCCTCCTGTCCCCACCCACCTGGTGACAGTGTCTTCAGCTTTACTCCCGGCCCGGCAGTTCTTCCCAGAAGGGCACGGCAGGCCCGGGCAGGGAAAGCAGCCACCCCAGGAGCCAGAATTAACTTCCTTGTCCTTTCCAGGTGTCACATGCTGCCAGGCCAGCTGGCCACACAGTTTTTCTGCCAGAAATAGGTCTGGTTCTCAGGAGAGCGGTCCTTAGGTAATGGCCTCAGCAATACACGCCTAAGTCCTCCTGAAGAAGCATTCTAGGCTTCTAAAGTGCTCTGGAATGTGCCGTGAATGGCCCTTCAGAGGCAAGTCTGATACGCCCCACCACAATTCTGCATAGCCAGACACGTAAGCATCAGAAACCGGGGCCAGTGATTCAGCTCTATGGCGCTAAGCCTGCCTGTCAAGTGTGAGGTCCTAAGTTTGATCCTCAGCACGGGGGGGGCGGATCACTTAATTCCTATAAATCACTCCATGCTGCATTCCACCCCACACAGGCACCGTGATGTGTCAGGGGGCCAAGTAACACAGCCAGACCAGGAGGTGCCGCGTGACCCCTGGAAGCTTGCCCCCGCTGCTCCTGATGGGAGCCAAACCTCAATAAAACAAGTTGAGTCAGACAGGAAGAAGGAATTTGGAGGGACACAACTTTGCTAAATTTCCCCTGGAAAGCAAATAATATTAGCTGCAAAGTGGCCCGGGTCTCCTCAGAGCCCGGTGAGGCGGTTACAGGGCCCTGAAGAAGTCCGCGGGCTAGGAGCACCCCCGCCCGGCCCGCCTGGCCCCTGACCTTCCACCAGCGTGCTGACAGCCATCAGGGCATCCTCCTGTACGCCCCCCGACCCGGCCGTGCTCTGGAACATCCTCAGGAGGGAGGCCATGACCACGTCGGAGATCTGCAGAGCGTCCTGGTGCTGTACCTTCCGCAGAACATTCTGTGCAGGGAACGAAGGGTCAGGCATCCACTCAGTCCAAACCCTCCGCTCTCAAACCACACCTGCTCTCCAATCAACGAGGCCCTGGACAGGTACAAACTCAGCAACAGAAACGCAACCCTCTGTACTGCAGCTCCTCAGCAGTTATGTGTGTGGGACAGGTCCCCCAAGCGATCTCTGCACTCTTACAGGAGTGACAGTCAAGTATCTGAGCACGAAAGGCCGTTTTAGGCATTGTTACTCATAAAGCAAACAAAAAGCGCCACTTCTCGCACCCCGAGCCATTTCGAGGCAGCGTCCAGGCAGCGCACTCCCACTGCTTGTGTGTGTGGCACTCATGAGGAGCGGGGACTCCACCACTGAGCTCTACCCAGCCCTTGTGACTTTGCAGAAACTCTCACTATGTTGCTCAGGGTGGCCTCAAACTTGTGGTCCACCTGCCTCAGCCTCCTAGCAGCTGGGCTAACAGCTATGTGACCACAATGGCTAAGAAACGGTCCCGCTAACAGGAAGGCACCCGATTCCTTCCGATTCCATACACCCTCGTCCCACCTCCCTCCTCGTTCCTCTGCTTCAACTCCTGTCCCCGAACCGCTCCTGCATCAGTCTGACAAGAAATGACGCTTTCCTAACATTCATCTCCTAGAAACAGTCTGGGCAAAAGGGAGCTCAGAGGTAAGCTGGCCCAGTCAGCCACTTCAATGCTGGAACCCGGCACCTACTTTTAGCTTCAGACAAGTTCCAGGGCTTCCCTTTTGTTCTCTGCTAGAAAAGGGAAGAGCTCTTCAGCCGCTTTCTGGGTTGAGAGCCACATTTTATTTTCCTTTTTTCCTGTCTCCCCTGAAAAAGCCTCCACTGTGAACAGGAGGCCATGTAATGATGTAACAGCACTGAAGCCTCTGACAGCAAAGCTTCCAAAAGATGACGGCAGGTGAGCCCCAGCTGAGAAGTGCATCCAACCCAGGCTTGGACAATCTCACAAAACCCACACTGAAAGCTGCTGGCACCGACTGGCTGTTCGGCTGGCGGGGTAGCACGCGGAGGCGTCTCCTTCCTGATGCTGCCCAAGACGCACAGGGAGCTCCGGCCAAGGGCAGAAGGCAGAAAGCCCTCTCCCGTCCAGCCACAGACTAGGATTTGAAGACCCAGGCGGCCAGCGAGCGCCACCCACACCCTGCAGGGCTCCCCGGGACCCCAGCCAGGGAGGAGGTAAAGAAAGGGCCGCCATACCTGAAGCGTGGCGCAGAGCAGAGACTGGAGGTCATTAAACTGGATTCTGTCTGATGTGCTCTGGATGTGTGACTAGGAAAGAAGAAAACATCAAGTTCTGACAAAAACATCCACTTTTGCTGGGGCTCAAAGGAACATTAAAAACCTTTTCAGGTGCTAATGTAGCAAAGTAAAAACACACAGGAGATACGTGGTGTAACAGGCATGAGTGAGCTATGATAAGCGAGGCAAACATTAAGTGGCAGGGTTTTTCCTTCTTTCTTCTCCAAGACAGAGTGTCGTGTTTGTAGCCCAGGCTGGACTTGAACCCATGGCAATCCTGCCGCCTCTGCCTCCCAAGTGCTGGGATGACAGGTGTGGGATGCTTTTTCTTTTCTTTTCTTTTCGGGGACTGAGGAGTCAACAGAGGCCCTTGTTCAAGGCTGTGTTTCTCACAACTGAGAAAACACTCCCTTTAACGCGGAAAAGAAGCGGCAGTCCTGAAAGGAGCGCTGTGCCACAGGACTGCTCCCGCCCGGCAGACGGCGCTCGAGCCTCACCTCCATCTGCAGCACCTGCTGCAGTCGCTCCATGATGACCAGAGTCGTTTTCTGGACTGCAGGGTAGCAATCCTTGGCACTGTTCTTCACAATTTCCATTAGCGATTCATACGCAGAGCTCCGCAGGTTGTTCTGGTGTCCATCGGGCCTGTGAGGAACACACAGCAAGATCTTAAAGCCTCGACTATCCAGACTGAGAACAAAGGATGGAAACATCGCTGCAACCTATTTTCCCTCTCTCCAAAAACAGGAAACCAGAAACCAACAAGAGTTTGTTTGGCTTGAGTCTGGTGACACAACATCTAAGAACCAAAAATTTCAAAGTCTTTTGAGCTAATGGCTATGTTTATCTCCAGGCCTGGTTAAAATTCAGAATGGCCACTTGGGAAATAGGGGGAAAATGGGCTGAAATGGCAAAGGACCCATGTGGACAAGTCGAGTGGTCACCTGCCCACTGTTCGAACTTAAATACCAACATTCCTCAAGGACGCATTCATGTAACAACGCGTACAGACAGGGACTAGGGAGGCCACCAGATCCCCGGGGCTTAACCTCCTCAGTGGGTCCATCCATGACGATCTGGTGACTGGGGGATGAGGGAAACAGGAGGGGCTTGGCGAAGCGAGTGCCTCCGGTCCCTAACCTTCCCCTCAGGCTGTCTCATCACCTGCTTCCTGACTGCCCCAGGTGAGTTTTCCTGTTTCCTCTTCCTACCATGCAGTTTCCGCCTAGCCACAGTCCTAAAAGCAAGGGAAGGAGTCACCAATCATGGACTGAAACCCCTGAAACCGGAAGCCAAGATCTATCTTTTCAAAGTTTTATTCAAGTCCTCGGTCACCGGACAAAAACCTGACTAATACATAACTCTGAGGCAGGTAGGTAAAGCGATTTTCTTCACACACTTCCAAGGGAGGCCTGCACAGAATCCTGAGCAGAGCAAGGATGAGTTAGCTAAGCACGGAAGACCCAAGGCTCATGCCTTCCTGAGGGGTCACTCTGCTCACGGCTTGACCTGAGGTAATGCGTGCATCAAACAGGAACGACTCAAAGGTGTACCCAAACTCTAGTTCTGCATCCAGTGTCCAGCATCACAAACAGTGATTTGGGTGGCAATTCAACTCCTACTGAATGGTGCCACCATTCCACTTTACACCACTCAAACACTGGCTGTAAGCTGGGGGTTAAGCTCAGTGGTTCTGCTGCCTGCCTCGTAAGCACAAGGACCCAAATTCGATCCCCGGTACCCACCCCCCAAAATCTAAAGTTTTGGCCGGGCGTGGTGGTGCAGGCCTGTAATCCCAGCACTCAGGAGGCTGAGGCAGGAGGATCAAATCACTGTGAGTTCGAGACCAGCCTGGGCTATATAGTGAATTCCAGGTCAGTCTCAACTACACAGTGAGATCCTGTCTCAAAAAACCAAACCAAACCAAAACAAACCAAACCAACACTGGCTGTGATCCAGCAACAGCACACTGAAGAGAACGCTCCAATCACTTCCTCTCTGAAGCAGAGAAAGAGACTAAGATTGTAACTGTAAACCAGACAATTCAAAGGTAGGCATAGTCTCCACTTCTCCTTCCCTCTCTCCTTTACTTAAATCATCAATGTGCACCATAAACTTCCTTTAATTCCCACAGAGCCTATCCTATGACATTTCTAAGCCCACACTCCCTTCTGCGGGCTGGTGGTCACCTGTCTGTGGTCTCCAGGAGCTTCTGAACTATGAGTTCAAACGAAGACGATAAGCAATAGGTGGCGGGTTCTTCCTGATCGTCGGCTACATCAGCAGCTTCATAAGCAGCTTCAGCCAAACTGGAGAAAGCCTGAAACGCATGCGAATTACAGCATCAGTCAAGAGAGCCGGCTGCAGTCACCACACTTGCTCCCCTCCACCTGAGAGCACAGAGATCGCTGCTCGGAGGCTCCAGGGGCCCACGCTGGCTCAGTGCCCGGGCCGCCTATCCTCCTCCCCCCCTGCCCCTTTCTCAGATTGTACCTTAGTCAAAGCTTTTGGTCCCTAAGCAAATCAAGGAAGAGGTCTCCTTGCTGGGTCTCCCCATGACTGCTCTAGGTGCCTCAGGAGCCTGCACCAAGCGTCAACAGGTCCCAAGAGCTCCTGCATTTGCGTCTCCCCCACATTTCAGTCCAGGACGTGAGAAAGTCGGCAACACTCAGAGCCTTCCAGGAAAGCAATGCACTGCCTCCTTCACCTCCTACCTTCCTGCCAACGGCTCAGCCACTCCCATCGCACCGGGAAAAGAGCCCTTACCCAGCACACATTGGAAGCCACCCGGGGCTCGGCACCGAGGCCTTCGATCAGACACTGCAGCAGGGGCGCCAAGTACACGTCGTTGATGGCAGCTTCTGGGAGCAGCTCACAAATTCTGCCCACCGTCCACGCAGTTGTGTCTCGAACGACCACGCTGGGGTCTTTCATTAATTCTATTAGGGTGGGCATAGCCTAAAACACAGTCGGAGAACAAAGGTGAAAACTCATGTTGGCCCGGGATGTAGCTCAGTGGCACCACGCCTGCCTTGCAAGCGCAAGGTTCTGAGTTCGATCCCCGGAAACCCCCAAAAAAGATTCATGAGGACGCCAGCTACCATGGAGAAATACTGACGTAAGATGGAACTTTAACTCAAAGACATTTCTGAAATATCAAATCACACCAGTGTAATGTGAGAAAGCCCTGCTCACCTCACCAAACGCCAAGATTCAATGTAAAGTCTGGGACAAATTTCCTGCACTTTACTCTGAGTGACTCAGGCCTAAGACGCCATCATGCAGTTACGACGGAATCAGGCTACACTCTGCACGCATGAAATACAAGTATAACACATCCTGTGTCCCTCAGATCAGCCAAACACTCAGCCCTACACCACTGGCAATGTCACCCAAAGCGTGGAATAATAATCCTCTCATCAAAAATTGCAAGGCAGCCGGGTGTGGTGGCGCACGCCTGTAATCCCAGCACTCAGGAGGCCGAGGCAAAAGGATCACTGTGATTTCCAGACCAGCCTGGGCTACATATTGAGTTCCAGGTCAGCCTCAACTACATAGTCAGACCCTGTCTCAAAAAAGCAAAATAAATAAATAAAAATTGTGAGGCACATGGCACACACTTAATCATCTTAGCTACCTGGGAGGCTGAGGAAAGGAGGTTTAAACTTTGAGGCCAGCCTGGGCAACTTGGCAAGACCCTGCCTTTAAGAAGGGCTAAGGGGAAGCACAGTGGAGACTGCTTACCACACAGCATGTGTAAGACACCAGACTCAATCCCCAATGTGGTGAGAAAATCAAAAAAGAATTGGGGCTAGGGATTTAGCTCAGTGGTTCCACTGCTTGCCTGGCAAGCACAAGGTCCTGAGTTCAATCCTTGGTTCCAAAAACAAAAAAAGAATTATGTACCTTAAAAAAAGTATATAAAAAATGTTACCCTTACCAACAGCATGACTCTCTGGAATGACTGTTTCTAAACATAACGGTATACTCGAGGAAAAGGTCGGAACCGTCACTACTCCGGTTTGCGCTCCCACCCCACTGTACCTGTATAACTAGTGGTTTGAGCTGACTGGGCTCCGGACCTTCCAGGATGCTGCCGAAAGCCATCACCGCAGCATCCCGGTACCGCCAGTCCGGGTTCTTGATGTGCTCCTTGATGAAGGGGAGGACGTGCGGCACGATGTCGTCCTCGCAGCAGGTGGACAGCAGCATGAGGCACACCCCAGCAGCCTTGCAGGGGTTCCAGTCATCGTCGTCATCATTTTCGTCCTGAGAGGCAGCGAGAGACTGGGTGAGCTGCTGTTCAAATCACTACTTTTGCCAGGCCTGGAGGCGCTCGGCTGAGGGAGGCTGAGGCAGGGGAATTGGCTGTGCACTGGGAGGCCAGCCTGGGTTACAAAGTGAGTTCAAAGACAGCCTGAACTACAGAGCAAGACCCTGTCTTGGGCTGGGGATTTAGCTCAGTGGTTCCACCACCTGCCTGCCAAGTCCCAAGAACCCGAGTTCGATCTCTGGAATCAAAAAAAAAACCAGCAGCAAGAATAAAAAAAAAAAAAATCACCAAACTTATTTTTTAATCTCTTTCAAAGACTCAACACCTCATAGGCCTTGTTAAGTTGAGGCTCAGAGACAAAGATTCTCCTTGGTACCATATATGGCAAACTTCACTGAACAGCAAGAATGAAATAAAATGGGGAGCTGGGATCTGGGCGTGGTGGCACATGCCCGTAATACCAGCACTTGGGAGGCCGAGGCAGACAGATCACTGTGAGTTCGAGGCCAGCTTGGGCTACATAGTGAGTTCGAGGCTGGCCTGAGCTAGAGAGAGACCCTGTCTCGAGAAAAAAAAAAAGAAAAAGGAGGCGAGTAGGACTGGGGGTGGTAGCCCACACTTGTAAACCACAGTACTCAGGAGGCTGACGCAGGAGGTCAGCTATGGAAACTTCAAACCCAGCCCGGTAACTTAGTGACACGCTGTCGCAAAAATACAAAAGCAAAATAGGGCTGGAGATGTGTGGCTCAGTGGCAGGACACTTGCCTGCCATGTGTGAATCCCTGGGGTTCACAATCCTCATTAGTGCTAAAAATAAATAATAAAAATTAAAAGTTAAAAGGGAGGCCAGGTGTGGTGGCACAGACCTGTAACACCAGCACTTGGGAGGCTGACGCAGGAGAATAACCAGGAGTTCTAGAATAGCCTGGGCAACTCAGTGGTCTGAGGCCAGCCTGAAATAACAAGGCCCTGTCTCAAAAAACAAAAACAAAAAAGCAAGGAGTGTGCTAAAGAACACCTGGAATCCCAGGTACCTGAGAAGCTAAGGCAGTAAGAATGGCAAGTCCTACTCCAGCCTGAGCAACTGAGACTGTTTCAAAATAAAAAAGGACTGAGGCCGGAGATTTAGCTCAGTGGTTCCACTGCCTGCATCACAGGCTCAAGGTGCCAAGTTTGGTCCCCAGTATAAAAAAACAAAAAGTAAAATAAAATAAACGAAAAGGATTGGGATGTACTTCAGTGGTACAGCACTAGGGCCTGCGTTCAATCCCCAGTACGATCAGAAAGGAAAAGCATGAGGCACATCTTACTCAGATTGTCCTTTTAATTTAGGACCCAGGTGTGACTTCTGTTTGCAATGCTGGGGATCAAGCCCAGGCACCCTACCACTGAGCTGTATCACACTGCCCAGGTGGGCGCTGAACTTGCAACCCTGCGCCGCCACCTCCCTCGGTACAGGGGTTTTAGCCATGCACACTACGCCCAGCTCAGGTCCACCTTCGCACTGTACTCAGTCACCCAGCACAACCACTCAAGTCACCCGTGCTGCTTCAGAAAAATCACACACATAAAAAACTTTTGTTCTCAAGTAAGAAAAGCAGAAAACATACAAAAGCAAAAATATTAAAAGATGCAAGTAGCCACTGTGAAACTGAAAAAAAGAGATGAAAATTCAATGGGGGAAATAAAAGCCTAATAAATAGAAAAAGAACTCAAGGAACACTCAGTCCATTTCAAACCAAGCCAATCTCTGGTGATCAGAGACTACTGACAGATCTGTCCCCAGAAAGTTAGACTTCTGTGTACAAAGAAATTTTCTAGCACGCCCAGTTACCATCCCTGATCTCCCAGGCACCACCAGACCTTCGGTGTTATTTCACACATACCAGGAAAGGTGAGGTGGCAGGAAGTCTCCCCAGATGCCACCTCGAAAGGCAAGAGAGCAGCAAGCATGAGACACCTTCACAGCAAAAAGCTCCTACAGTTGTGCACTAGTCTTGGAGCTACAGACAGCCCTAGTTTTATTCTGCCCCAGATGTTAACCAACTTGAAGGATCAGAAGCTCCTTTTCACAGGCTGCAATTCCTCACCAAGTAACTTGTATCCAACCTCATCAGCACTTAAAAAAACAATGCATCCCAAAAATTCACGAAGATATCCCAGATATCTCTCCCCAGCCTCTTCCTTACTGCCGTTTTCCTGAAAACATCTCTCCTATTGGTGGCCTTCAGGAAACCGCAGCAGGGAGTGGCTTTGTTACAAATCAAGTCTCTTGAGATACTGAGACCCTGCTCTCCACAGACAACTCAGAGCCTGGGGGATCGAGCAGGCCCAGCCCCGCCGCTCCTGAGTCATCTACCACGGAGCGGAGCGTCAGCCAGTGCACCGGCTGCCAAGCTCCTCCATGGAAACCGGTCCACAGCAAACCAACCCACTCTGAGGCTTCACAGCCCACCCGGGGGGGCGGGGAGAGCCTCACCTGCTTAGTTAGTGTCTGCGTGAGGATGGGGACCAGGTACTGTAGGGCTCCCTTGGCGTAAAACTTGCTGGTGTGCTCAGGGGGCCGTCCTTGTTCTGCTGCCTGAGGAGAAAGGCAAAGCAAACGTTAGCCGAAAGCAAACCAAGGGCACAATCAGAGCTGCCCAGGGTAACAGACATAGGGACAGAGGCCAATGTCCTCTGTGCTCTTCTCCCCTTCCCAGGTATTAGAGATGGAACCCAGGGTCTTGAGCGTGTTAAATCAAGTGCTCTGCCACTGAGCTACATCAGACATCTGAGTTGCTGAGGCTGGTTTTCAACCTGCAACCCTCCTGGCCTGACTCCTGGTGTGGCTGGAATCACAGGTGTGCGGCACCACACCCAGCTAGCATTCACCAGCTGAAGTTGCTGACTTTTGGGTCTGCTCCAATGAAATTCTTTCAGGCCGTAAGTGCCATCTTTGTTAAAAGACCAAAGCAACCCTTAAGAATTACATTTTTTCCCCACCAGCTCAATGCAGCTTAACAACCTGACATCTAGTGCTCTTTGAAATCAAGAGATGCACAAAGTTTACATAAGGATGCCAAAAATAAAGCTGTATTTTCAGAAATTGTGTACAGAGACAGACAAGGTTGCAAACAAAGCTTAATTTCAAGTACAGAATAACTGTTTCCCACGTGAGACTCCTTCACTAGCATCCATAAACTATCAATTATACATATTAAGCTTGTTGTAGGGCTTTGGTCTTTTTGTTCTGTTTTTTTTGTGTCGTTTGTTTTTACTGACAGAGCCTTGCTGTGTAGGCTGGGCTCAGCTTCACTCACTATGCAACCTAGGCTGGCCTCAAAGTCGTGATGAGCCTCCTGCCCCAGCCTCCAGTGCTGGGATTACAGGCCTGTGCCACCACACTCAGCCTGTACTACAGAACTTGAGAAAGTAAATTTCAAAGCCGGGCGTGGTGGCACACACCTTTAATCCCAGCACTTGGGAGGCTGAGGCAGGAGGATCGCTGGGAGTTCAGACCAGCCTGGGCTACATAGTGAGTTCCAGGTCAGTCTCACTACATAGTGAGACCCTGTCTCAACCCCCGCACCAAAAAGAGAGAAAGCAAATTTCAGCATCAGGTGTCCCCTGTATAAACTGCCTGCCTGCTGCCCCCTGGTGTCCACAGCAGTAACCACCAGCAGTAAGTAAGTCCCGCCCAGAACCAGCAGGAACACAGCTGCCTCATTACCAACTTGTCTCGGTGTGTGAGGGCTTCCACCCGGCAACGGCAACGGCAACGGCTGGGCAAAAGGACAGCGACCCTTTCCCAGGCTCACCTCAGAAGCCTCGATGGCCAAATCCATCTCCTCATCGCAGACATTGGACCAGAATTCTATCCCTTGCAGGGCCACCTCATCTATGTCGCTTTTCATGGCTTCAATTGTGATCTTAGGAGAGAAAATACAACACCCCCGGCCCAGCTAAGTACTGATTCACCTTAGACCCTTTCTTTAATCCGACATTCCATTCAGGTTTCAAAAACACAATTTGTAAAAAGTCAGTTCTGAAATGAAGGTTAAAAAGAGGAAAACTATTTTCAAAATAGCATCCCTTTAAGCATCACAAAGACAGCAAACTTTTTTTTGGAAATATCACATAATACTCAGACTCAAGGTATTTCATAACGTTAAATGCAAAATTTCAACATTATAAGACAACTAAGAAGAATGACGAGTCCCGAAATTAGCTGCCAGCCATAAATCACATAAAATACTCACTGCAAAGAGAGCAGGACCCATGTAGGTCTCCATGTACTGATAATACAAGGACATTATCTTGACCAGATTCTGTAAAGCAGCCACTCGTACCTTTAAGAAGAGAGTGAATAACTTACTAAAACAGCAGTGCCGTTTGTGAAGGCGGACACCAGTGTGCCCACGATCTAACAGCAGGCGTAGTTCACGTTATCGCCCCAAATTAATCTCACCCTACAATTTCCATCATCCATTCCTACATTTCACTGTTCTTCCTTCGCAGATGCCTTGGGAACCCATGGCAGGACTAAACTCACTAATGCCGTTCAGACTGAAGACGCTACTTTCGCCAGTTTCAAGCACTACAAGTTTTGGTTACAGCAATAGCAAAACTGCTACAGTGACTACAGTGGAAAACGGCCACCTGAATGGCCCATGGCAACCAATAAAATAGCAGCGTGGAGCAAACCGTTTCTCCCTTAAACCACCCCCTTTGCTGCAGGACTGGGAAGCGTGCACTGCCACTCTACCACTGAACTGCGTCCCCAGCCCCGCCACGCCCCACTTTTGAGACAGGGCCTCGCTGTGGCCTCTTTGGCCTTGAACCTGTACTCCTGCTGCTGGCCTCCTGAAAAGCCTTTCAAGAGGATGTTTATTTCCGGTCTTCCAAGAATACCATTCTCTAGGCTGGGGATTAGCTCAGGGGCAACACATCTACTTGGCAAGCGCGACGCGAGGTCCTGAGTTCGATCCCCAGTACCAATAAAACAAAAGGACTGTTCTCTCTTCTAATACATTGGAGAAGAACAATCTGTCACACCTGCTTCTTAAACCCATTGATTCTCCAAGGTTCCAAGCTCTGTATGACAGCTGCACCGCCCAGGGAGGTGTGAGAGACATTTTCCCACGTGGCCTCACTTACCCTCGTATCTGGACACTGGGTGGCTTCACAGACCACCTGCATGATAAAGTGCCTTTCGGACTGCAGGAAGAATGAAGACAAAAGAGAATTAGGAGACAAAAACCACACATAAAGATTTCCAGATTCTCTCTGCAGAGAAAACCCTTCATCCCTTAGGCCCCTGTGCAAGCCCAGCGTGGCCCTATGACGCTTCCTGGAGGCGAAGGGGGCACTAGGGAGGCCTGAAGTTCCCTCAGTGTCTGCTACGGACTGGCCCTAGACGAAGGCCTAATCCTTTAATCCTCAACATGACCTTCGCTAACAGGGCTTCAGGAAGAAGCTGACAGGAGAATGTAGGCCAAAAGGTCAGGTAAAAATAGTTACAAGAAAAACAACCTTCATGTAGGAAAAGCAGCCAGCTTGCATTTATTAAAATTGAGAATTCCAAACATCTGCTTTATTTCAGAGACCAAATTTGTTTCGGGGAAGATGGAAAATCTGTATCAAATGTGTTGAGCAATGAACTTCATTTGCTGCTCTCCCCCTTTTAAAGTTCAAAAGGAAATCCTCGTTTCAAATCGAGCAGAGAGGTGCACGCTCTGCCTTCTTAGACCTCGCAAACACGGCAAATACACAAGGAAACGCTGCCCACTCCGAGACGAGCCCCGGCACCTCCCGCCACCTGGGCCAACCACGAGACATGCCGCGCAGTGAAATGTGCAGCGCTGCCAGACTCCACGTACACCTGAGGTCTAAGGCAGGCAAATTCACAGGAACAGGGCACGACGGGGGAAAACTGCGGAGATGCTCGAAGCTCTGAACACAGTCCCGTAACTGTGGACGCACACTTGGCCACACGCCTCAACAGGGTTTGCTTTTATCTTCGTTCTGTTGGTGGGGCTGGGGATGGACCTTAGAGGCGCTGTGCGCTCACGCCATGTCCTCCTTTTATTTCAAGACAGGGTCCCCGCCAAGTGGCCCAGGTTGCCCTGGAACTTACTGAACTCCTGCTCAGCCTCCTGAGTAGGTGGGATGACAGGTGTGCACCAGTGCCTCTGGCTGAGCCAGTAAATGTTACATTACATATATTTTATCACACTTCAAACAGAGCCAGGTACAGCAGCACACACATCTTGTCCCAGCTCTCAGAGGCTGAGGCAGGATTCCAAATCTGACCCCAACCTGGGTAACTTAATGACTTACGGAGAACCTGTCACAAGGGGCAAAAAGGATGGGGGAAGTATTCTTAGGACAAACACTTCATGTGCCCGATGAGAATGGCAAATATCTACTTCATGCCATGTCTCCCCACACAAAACTCAACCAGAACAGAGAGCGAAGCTTCTACACAACTTCCCAACACCACCTCTAGGAACTCTACCGGCGCGGGGCGGCGCGGCCTCTGTACCAGGGCGTCTACTGGAGGAAACCAACCTCTTTGTCGAAGTTGGCTTTGGTGAACTCCAGCGAGTTCAGGAGTGCATTCGTAGCAGCTAGCTTCACATTATTGCTTGGCTCTTCTTTCCTCATCCCCTGGATTATGGCAGTCAGAATCTCATTGGACTTATCCTGTAGCTGCTCTGGGTCCTGAAACCAGACAAGAAGCGCCGTGAACCTGACAGCCAGCTCCTACCCATCAGCAGCCCTTCAATCGCAAAATCCGCAGCGAGTGCCAGGACCTGGTGATCTTTCCCACCCTGCACTCGGGGACAGCAGTGCCAGGACCTGCCAATCTCCCAAGGGCTGGCAGTCCGAAGCCCAACTGCGACACGCTCATCATCAACTCCAATTCGGGGCTCTCAAGTGTATGGACCCAGGGCACCTTCCGCACAAAGGGAGATGGCAGTCTGGTGTCTTGCCCAGGGCCAGGGATCAGCGCCTAAGCACAGCACTAGGGACATGTAGGTCTGAACGGTCAAGCACTGTGGGCTCCATGCTTTGACGGGGGCGACTTCTTTGCGACAACAGCCCTGGGAGGGCTGCGTGTAACACTGTGCTGTGGGGCTCTAGGGGTGAAACCAATGCAAGAAGAGTTGGCAAACCCAGCATGGTGGAAAAAAAGCCCACATGGGCTGGGGATTTAGCTCAGTGGTTCCATAACCTGCCTCGAAAGCACAAGAACCCGAGTTTGATCCCCAGTACAAAAAAAAAAAAAAAAA